ATCCACACGTGCCATGCCTCTGGAAAGCAACAAGGAGAGGCAGGTGGCTCTAGGGAGCCTGCATGCAAAGTGAGGCTAGTGCCTCCTGCAGCCCCTCTATCAGAGGCAGCAGCATGGGGATGAGGAGGACAGGTGGCTCTGAAGGATCCAGTGCAGTGGTTCCTGCCTGCCCTCTGTGCTGCTGCCTCTGTGGAAACTAGCTCCTGCCTTGCTGCCTCCAAGATAGATGCAGTGGGGAGAGGGTGTGTATGTAGTAGTTTAGATTAACCCAGTGCTTTCTCCCCTCCTCCCCCGCCCCACATCTGACCATCCAGTAATTATTTCTGCTCTCCAGCATCCAATTCAATCCCCTCACATAGTTTCTTCTCCTCCTGCAGCTCCTGGGTTCTTCAGTCCCCTCCCCCTCCTTCATCTCTCACACACTTTTCCCAAGCCTGTGGCATTCTTCTCCCGCTTCCTCAGTGACAGAGTGGAATCCCTACCTACATCACTTCATAGTCTGGTGCCCCTTCTTTCCTCTCCATGCTCTGTTAACACTTTCTCTTTTTAGTTAGCAGCAGGTGAAGGGTCAGCCAGTGTTCCTTCCCTACTGCTAAAGGCACCATGGAGAAGGTAGGCAAGGCCAGGTTCCTTCCCCTGATCAAAGAGCAGTCTTGGGGAGTAGGGGTATAGGTGCAGATTCCTGCATTTTAGGAGATTTTAGACCATTTTAGCCAAATGACAAATCCCAAACAGGGAACCTACAGACTAATTATTAGCTATAAACCTGTCTAGATTTACTGTCAAGCACCAACAAACATGCACCAAAAATCATGAACCTATTAGACAGACAAAGATATTAGTGTTAACAAAAGCCAACAACCCCAAGTCAGTACTGAAATTATATATAAATTAAGTAGGCTATTTCCTTTTCCACAGATCCAGTAGGAACATTAGATGCCAGCCCAAGGCCCAAATCTAGCCCTATGGTATACAGGTAACTGCCATTTTAGTCAATGGAAGTACAGGCAGTCCCCGGGTTACGTACAAGATAGGGACTGTAGGTTTGTTCTTAAGTTGAATCTGTATGTAAGTCGGAACTGGCGTCCAGATTCAGCCGCTGCTGAAACTGATCAGTCTGGACACCAGTTCCGACTTACATACAGATTCAACTTAAGAACCCCAGGTGTCCCCAAGTCAGCTGCGCTGAATCTGGACGCCTGGGACAGAGCAGCTGGGGCGCTGCCAGGTAGGTCCCTGCAGCGCCGCACCTCAGTGCTGCGGGGACCAACCCGGCAGCACTCCAGCTGCTCTACCCCAGGCGTCCCCAAGTCAGCTGCTGCTGAAACTGATCAGTGGCTGATTGCAGGACGCCGCTGCTCTGCCCCAGGCGTCCTGATTCAGCTGCAAGAAAAGCCCCGTTCGTAAGTACGGATCCGACATAAGTCGGATCCGCGGAACCCGGGGACTGCCTGTACAGCAATTTAAGTGAACTATCAATATTATATCCTATAAAAGAAATACTGTTCAATATTAAAGTCCCTCAGTGACATCAAAACACAAATCCTCAAGGATATTTAGGCACCTAACTTTCGCCGAAGTCATCAAGAGTTAGGTGCTTAATAACTTGAAGGATCTGGGCCTAAATACTGTGCGACCATGGAGATGAATGCTGCTCCCACCTACACAGTAGTAGCTATACATATATTAGAATGAATTGTGACTGGCCCTAAAAGCAAGAATAAACACAAATGAAATTCAAAAGAATTTCTGGCAGCCAGACTACTCCAAACAATTAATAAACTGCTTCTGAGGTTGATAAAATGCCTGAGATGACAAGTTTGATAACTTCAAACATTATATTGCTAGCATATGCATGTCATGAATAGTATTTCTGTTTTTCTAGTATTCCTATCTTGAAAGAAACAAATCTACAACAAATTATAACATTTGACATGTTTTTAATAATACAACAGCACTCTTGCTGCAATATACAGAAGCATAGAGTGTATTCATTAATGTGTTAACCAAGCATCAAACTTCAAGGTGCCTCATACTACACCATAATTTAAGTATATATACACACATAATTAAATCTTAAAGCTATGTAGGGCCAGATTATGCCCCTAAAACACAGCACTGAACAGGGGACTGCAGAGTCACACTACTTCAGGGCAAGCGCTTGTTGCAAATGGTCACTGCATCTCTCTGAGAGGCTGTCATGTGCACACACACTTCCGTAGCTAGGCATGACCCCGGAGTCTTCCCCATTCTTTTTGGGGAAGCAGTGCCTCTAGGAACATTTCTGAGTTGCCCAGCACTCACGGGATTATTTGAACTGTGATGTGGTCAGCTGTTAAACAGGAGGCACAAGTGAAAAGAGTGAGGGAAGTTTCACTTTCCATCCCTCTTACATTGAGGCTACCTATAATCTGGCCTTAAACCTATAACATAACTCCTTCCATTTCACCTAAGCCAATGTTTAGGAAGGGGCAGGGAACCTAAGGCCTGAGGGCCAGATGTGGCCCCTGGCTTGCCTGGATCTGATCCCCAAGGCTTGGGGCTTCCTCCCCCACCCCAGCATTGGGGAGCCTGTACTGATGCTCCAATCCCCACACTGTCCCTCATGAGGCTGAAGCACACAAAATCTATTTACCTGGGCCCTCTTAGGCTATGGTGTGTGAGGAGAATGTGGTGAGTGTCTTTCTCCTTGGGGGCCATGTCAGTGAGAGTTTGGGTGCGTTTTTTTCTTTTTTGCTTCACCTCTGTGTGGCCCCTGACTGAGTTTTCTGTGGGTCAGGGAGCCCCCTCTCCCAAAAAAGGCTCCCCACCTCTGGTTGAGGATAAAACTAATATCTGCTGCTAATTACTGACCCATCATAAACAAATTCAGTCTACACACTGGGATGTCATCTAAGCATTTTTGCCTATAACTGGACGACTGGATTTCCTGGCATTTGCCTAATGTTTAATTACTTAGAACATAAAATGTGTGTCTTTTAAAAACATGTTTATAAAATGTCTCAATAATTAAATGCCACACTTATCTGCAGTATGAAAATCTTTCAAAAAATATTTGTCAAAGAAAAATCAATAACTACATCATCAAAATGTACTGCTTTCCAAGGAATCTCCAAGTGGGACAACACAGAAATCAATACAAACTATGGCATGTGAGTGAGCAAAAAACAACCCCCAATACAGCAATTTAGCTACTGAATCTGGCAATTTCACGTAGACAGAATTCAGAGGTTTAATTTGCTCATTAATCTGTGTATCTGTTCCTTGAAAGACCAAATCAATAATATAGATCTTGCTGAGAAGTTCATTAATATTGACTGAGGTTAAATTAGGACTAGCAGAAGGCTCATTGCATACTCTGGAATGGATGGACATGGGTTCAACCTCTCAATCAG